GGAAGTAATTTTTTATGTTAATCTTTTAGTTGGATTGCCAAAAACAAAGACGAATTTAAATATGAATTTTTCTGGTGGAAAGAATCTCTACTAAAATTTTTGAACCGGATTGCATCACGCTGAAGTTACCCTCTACACCCTCTTGTAGCATATCTGTGTGGTCGAGACCCGAAATTAAATCTTTGTATTATTTTTTCGTATGAGAGATTAGATAGAATCTTTGCTTTATTAATTTAGTTTATTGGGTCTCTGCATTTAGTTTCTCTAATAGAGGTTTTTAAAAGGTTTTATGTGCATTAAAAAGGTTAATGGGTTTTAAGTGCAGAAACCGATCACGGTTAGTCCACCCGGGCTTAGACATATACCCCTATATAGAACTACATCGGAATCAGAATTTTATGATTCTGACACCCAAGAATTATAGAGTTATATCATTGTTTCAATGGAAAAACTGCATTCTCATGATTTTGACCTAGAATTATAAATACATGTTGAGAACCTTCGATCATATTTTGATGTTTAGGTTTTGATAGTTTATGTGCAATTTTGTTTTACATCAATACCAACAAGTTTCGACGAGTTTTTTACAAAAAATCTACTATGAGCATTTCTTATTTTTATCATAGTATTCTATTCAAAATTAATGAAAATTCATTGGAAGACATTGGAGTTGTTTATTATAGAGTGACACCATTTTCTAGAATCCTCAATATGCACTACTTCCTCCCAAATATTTCATAGGGAATATTTGATGCCAGATCAAAGCCTGAAGCCGCTGAACAAACAACTACAATACAAACTGTAGGTGATAATTTTTTTTAGACTTTAAAATAACTATAGGATTAATTTTTACAATTTTATAATTAAACTGCAGCTACAAACTATATAAACAATTAATACTTATTAGAATCACATTTTGTAAGCGTCATTGTAATTCCAATTCCCACTGCATCGAATGCTCTTTCACGTTGTAAGACAGAATTCAACAATTCTCATATTTTGAACGGTTTCTCTTTTTTGTGACAATTTTACATTTGAATTTTGGATGATTGAAATATAAGTTATTTGCATGTGACAGCCAAAGTCAAATTTCCACCGCTCTTTTTAACTTGATGTATCAGGAGCTCTTTTTTTTTTAATTCTACCGCTAACATATAAAAAGTTAACATTAATTTTGCTCAAAGCGCCATTAAATTTATGAATAAAATAAAAAAATGGTTTTGGTTATCAAATTTTAGTTTTTTAAGTTTTAAAAGTAATAACGAACCCATAAAATTCCAAAGTTATTAAGTTAACGAAAATTATCAGATTGGCAACGAAAGCTGACACTCATTACTAATAAGAACCTTAAAACTGATGCAACACCAGAAACTAAAAGCTGACCGCTTAATCAACGGCAAGGTGTTATTGCAGCATCAGTTTTGAATTGGTGCAATAAAATTCAAGGGTTTTTTGCACATATATTCCTCAATCTCCCGCCACTTACAGATACCTCTAAATAACCTTCTCTCTACCCCCCCC